TTCCATCTTATCATGTTAGAATATAACAAATGACTATTATATTAAATTGAATATGTCAAAGCAGACTGCATACAAAAATTACGCGCCATATATATCGCACAAGCGCTTTTAAGTAATAAAAACTTAGGCCTAACTGAAGCGGATGGATAAAATAAATGCACTAATTCATTAAAAGCAGAGGTATATTCGTAAATAACAATAAATATTTTGCAGCATTATTTCTAAAATACTGCTCATGTTACTTAGAAAATAAATAGGCCTGTCTGGACCCATCTATAATGATATGTTTGTAAGGAATTTACCAATTTTATACGTTTACTAAGGTAAATGAATAATAATTTATTTCCAAAACAACAGTTTACATTAAACAAATAGTTTAATATTACCTTAGCTAAAAACATAGATTCTAAATGATTTAGAGATCGATTCTTATAGGAACCTACCCTCTACCTAGGTATATTTTAATTATTAAAATTGTTATGGCTAACCAAAAATTTAATTGATTATTTACTGTCTATAGTTTACGCGAGTAGTACCTACATATCTGAATAAAACACTTTAACGGTTTAAAACGCGATATATTAGTTAAACTCATTTGAAAATGATTTTGATGTCTCCCTGTGACCACGGCTGCTGCTAAGAACCCGAAACGTGGGGCCGAAGTTAAAAGTCAATTTCAAATAATCGCATTTTAAACCGTTAAAGTGTTGTATTTAAATTAATAGATTAATTAATTGATTGATTGATTACGATTGTTAACAAAATTATTTTGGTTAGTATCTTTTTCTTATAGTCTTAAAAATTTAAATTAAAAACACAAATTTTCAACACTTTCCTATTTAATATTGTGTATGGTTTAGTGTAGATCGATTGTAGGTATGTTAAAAGAATAGTCAGGCTTATGTTAAAAAATGATGATATAAATTATTAAGTACCTACCTATACCATCTTTACTATCCAAAACATCAACAGTGAAGACATTTTTTATCAAGCAGAGAATAGTAAACATAAGGAAAAAAGAAATAATACACCGAATTGTATAAAAAAAATACTTAAATTAAAATTAAATAAGGATCTTTAGTCTAAACAATTGAAATTAAAAGACAGGTAGTTGTAGATATTATATGAATAATTAATTATATTATTTAATATTGTATTTTAATTATGGTTTAGTTCAATTACATTAAAATAACTTAATAGTTATGTCATCAATACCCAAAAGATTAACAAAAACAGTGTAATGACAGATTGCCTTCTATCTACCACAGATAAAAAAAATATTTTTCTTAACACGTAAGTAGGTAAGGTTTTAGTCCTGTATTATGTGCTTTTCACTCCTAATGCCATCTTCGAAAGATTAACTTTAAAAAGCTTAGGTTAACGGAAATATTGAGATCGTTAAGGTTTTGACTTTTTATTTCTTGATTCGGATTAATACTTAACTTGCTTTTGTTTGTGACTTGCAAGACAATTGACATTACATATACCTCTTTAGAAAGAATAGAAGTGTGCCTATGCTTAACTGTCCTAAGCTACGTATTAATATACGAGATGTTTTTTTGGTGGGATTTAAAAGCGTATTAAGATACTTATTACCTTAGGGTATATGTGTGTAAGCTGAAGTTTAATTTTTTACAGTTATGTGATCAGAATTCTTAGCGAAGTTTAAGTTATAAAACACAAACTACTTAAAAGTCTGTACTTTTAAAATACTGTTTGTAGTTTACGCGGGTATTTACCCGCCTAAACAAAATATTGATACAATAAAATTTTAACGGTTTAAAACGCGAAATAAATTTGTTGAACTATTTTTTTTTAACTGCGGTCCGACGGTTCGAATGCTTTGCAACAGCCGTGGTCACGGGACTTATAATTAATAAGGAAGTAAAAGGTTACCTACTTATTAATTTTTACTTTATAAAGTTTTGGATGAAGCATCCAAGACTTTATAAAGTAAAAATAACCCGTCACAATATTCATTATGTTATTGTTAATATATTTTAACAGTCTTCTATTAACATTTAAAGCTGACAAGAAATTACTGCCATATACCGTAGACTACGTTTAGGTAAAGATTTTTATGCATTTTTGACAAAATTTATTTGCGAATAATGTAAAAAAATATATGTTAACGATCACTGTATAAAATTCTATGAAAGCTTTTGAACGGTCGTAACAAAAATCTTCTATTAAGTTTACACACGTTTTTTGAGGATCCTACTATCATCAAGCGATTTTACCTCCTTTATTTTGGCACACACATTATCAGAGGTATCGGTTCTCGAAGGTCAGAGCTTAACAGGTAACATCTGCGGGCGTTTTAATTTATTTTTCGTGTACATTTTTTGTTTAAGCATAAAAACATGAATCCTAATGTATAGTTAAAACGTACAATATAGTTCTGAGTGCATTATGCTGTTGTAATCTTAAGTAGCCTGGATCATTGGCTAAAAGGTATACCTAGTTACGCTGTTCATGTGCAGGGACTTAAACATAAAAAGACACATTTTATTTTTTTACTATACTATACTAAACTATATTTAAAATAGAAATTTTAATCATTTAAAATAGGTACAATCAATATAATGATTAGCAATTCAGTGTTCAACGTTAAGCTACTTCAGGTAGAACCTCAAAAATAAAAAGTTTGTGCAAAATCGAAACGCAGTCAAGTGTGTATAAAACAAAGTACCAATAAAGTATCGTTACTGCTTACTCAACAAAAAACCGTTCTAAAAACTGGCTGCAAACGTTTTTAAACTGTGACAATTTTAACTTTTGTGTCTTTAAAATATGATCTGTGTAAGCGTTCTGGCGCTTTACGAACGCAATTCAAATGTAGCGCGACCAATCGGACATTTTTGAAAATCGAATAAACGGCGCGACCTTCATAAATTTAAACAATAAATGTCATATTTGACATGAGGACATTTTTAAAAAGAAATGCGTTTTTTTTTCTCTTCGGATGGAGGAGTTACTTCACAGATTATATTAAGTATAACTTGAAAAGCTTCGCGCGGATTAAAAAAAAATGTTTTGATTATCTTTGTTCATATTTGATTATCTATGTTTTAGTTAAGATTAGTCTGTTAGAAACGTCTATCTGGCTTCTAATTAAAATACTATATATTGTTATCATTTCTGTCGCGTTATTAAAGAAATTGGCGCCTATATCTGCTGCTACAAACCATTAAAAACCTCGGAACGTAGTTAAAAATAAACTTATTTATTTTGCGTTTTAAACCGTTACAAGGCTTTTCAAAGTATTTTTTTAATGATGGAAGGAAACTTATACTTTTAACTGTGAGCGTCCATAAGATTCATATTTTCTCGATTGCGCTTAGATGAATGTACGTAAACTATATTATTTCCTGTATACACGCGTGGTAACTGGTAACCAGTAATAGCATGTGTTAATAAAACTTTATTCAGCTATGGTTTATCGATCATAAAACTCAAAGCTATTACGTTCGGCTATTCTGCGCTACTACCATACTGCTTTACGATTCTATGTACTGAAAGCTTGCCAACAAATATATAAGAGTGAATTCAGTTATTTTCTAGTATGAAATAATCAGGCATTCTTATGCATGACTTTTCTAGATCCAAATTAATATTAAAAAGTAGTGTTAATTAAAGCGCAGAATCTTTTTATTAAATCCTATCTATAGTTTACGCGAGTAGTACCTACACATTTAAATAAAATCCCCCGTCTCCCCGTGACCACGGCTGCTGTAAAGCATCCGAAACGTCGGGCCGAAATTAAAAATGGTTTTCAAATAAGTTTAACTAATATATCGCGTTTTAACCCGTTAAAGTGTTTTATTGAAATCTTTTTATTACTCAATTATTTCTTAACTTTTAAGAAAGATTTAGGACGCTTATTTAGTTTTAAACCTTTCACCTACCTTAGCTAGTTACTTTAATTTGCGTAATATTTATGTATTATCTTATATCTAAAAATTGAAAATATATTTGCATGAGTCGTAAAATATGTATTTTTTGCATCGAATGATGTAAGGTTTTTATTTGCTTTCCATATTTTTTTGGTACAATCATTCTTTCTTTTGTATATAGATACCTATTTTTTGTGACACAAACTTAACTACTTTTTTAAAAGTAATCTACATTTTTACATTATAATTGTTATTCATCATTATCACAGGATATGGCACGCCATTTTTTGTTTTTAATTTGTGTCACTTTCGAAGTATACATTTCTAACATAATTTTTGGGACAAGGTAGAGTGCTGTTGTAGGTACCTATTAGAACTTCACTTCCGACACATTTACCTTGAAAATAACAGATGTATTAATATAATATTAGTTGCCAAAACGTAAAGGAATGGAGTAAACTTAAGGGAAGTATTACGAACAATAAATACCGAGGGAAGCTTGTTGATAGAATTTGTATAAGGCTTTCGCGGCCATTTTGCAAAGCTTAGCAGCTACAGAGTATCTCCATCTTTACTTATCAAAGATGGCGAAACATCGAGAACAGCTCATAAACCGAATTAGTTTGATATACTTAAACCGTGTACATAATATTTTTAACACCGGCCAGATTATTGCAATTTTAGCCACAAGTTAAAAGTATAAGTTGTGTAAGATTCATGTACCTACCCAAAAACAAAGATTTATGGAGCTATAGACTAATAGAATAACCCTCGTCATAGGTATTTGTATAGTTGTCTTATTTAAGTTTTACCAATTATTTTAACAACGGCCCGACATGCGGTGGTCACGGGCGGTTCACGTTTAAAACCGTTAAATGTGTACTACTAGTGTAAATTTCAGATAATATGTATCAGTGTCTGTATTTGTTTATTTTTAATGTCTTTTTGAATAGTGATAATTCTCGCTGGGTTCGAATCCCGGGAGATCAAATCCGTAGCAGATATGTCTGATCAACTGTTTACTTGTTATTTATATATATCTATGAATGTTAATGGGACTATCTATTATATTTGTAAGATACAAAAATTAGACTTGAGTGCACTATGTTTCTTTCTAATGGTATTTTGTCTTTGTCAACAGGAAGAGGTGAAGCAGGCGGCGCAATGGCGTGCGCCGGCTGCGAGAAACCCATCCTGGATAAGTTCCTTTTGCACGTCTTGGAGCGGGCGTGGCACGCCGCCTGCGTTCGCTGTGCGGACTGCCGCGCACCGCTCGCGGACAAGTGCTATTCTAGGGATAACAAACTGTTCTGCAGAAATGATTTCTTTAGGTGAGTACAATCCACTTCAATGTTTATTTCGTTTATTATTATTGGCTTCGCTTAAAAACCTATTTACAAATCGAGTATTTCGATGGCGCCTGAAGTAGCTGTAAAGCTGTGGCACAGGAGCCAGCGCCCACCTCCGTATGATAAGTTAAAGTAATTATTATTGACATTCTTCTAAATTACTATTTGGTACAATTAAAGAAAGTTAGTGTAAAACAATCTGTGTGCTTAAAAGGATATTAATTTTGAGTATGTGTGTGTGTTTGTGTGAGTCTGTGTGTGTGAGTATTTCATAGAAATACTTGGTTGATCGCGTTGTGAAAACCTGGTGCCTGTAATGTATTGGACATATTATTTTATTATATTAGTTATTGGTATGAGCTTATTGTATTAATTATAACTTAAGCATTAGAATGTAAAGTTTGAAATCGCCTGCGTTTTGTTTATTATCTTTTTGGCGTTTATTTTTTTATGAAATTTGTCCTATATGATAATTTGTAGAGTCATCTTTAGTAAAAAAAATGGTCAAGTGTGAGTCTTATTTTCACACGATGGGTTTTAACTTATTAGTTTGCCTACCCCGTTAGGTATATGACTTACCTTACACGTGATACAATCCGTCGGCCGGCTTGTATCTTTTTATAGTACAAATTCTTTAAATTTTATTATTTTTCAATTATTGTATCAATTTATTATGTAAAGATTAATACATGTTTCGTTTTTGTGGCTAAAAAGTACGAGTGAAAATCCTTAATTAAATTCTTATTCGATGAAATGAACGTGTGTGTCCATTTATCAACTAAATCGGTACCTATATTATATTATGCTGCTAGAGGCAGAGTGGCCTAATAACAAAAAACATGATTTTCATTAATAAGGAAAATAAAAATGCGGAATTAAGTTAGGCGAAAAGGAATTTGTACTAATTTGTCATTTCTATAAGAATTATGATAACAATTTTCGGTCACTGTGCGGTTCGGTCTTGTAGATTAAAGATTAACATTTTTACACTATGAAAATGATGAAGTCCAGTCATAAAATTGCAGTTAGGCCCGCCTCCATCGGCCTCATATATACAAGTAAAAATGTTAGAAAACAATCTAATTAGAGTAAAGAAACTATGGAAGTCAATAGACAATAGACTATATCGCGTCACAATTATTTCTCAAAAGTTAATTTGCATAAAAGTCGGAAGCTGTTTGTTATTTTAACTTGCATGATGGTAGATCGCTTGCAAATGATAAATGACTTACTTGTCATTATCGTTATATTCTCGTATTGATGAGGATTCATAAAAACTTTACGATGACATAGGTTTATTACGGTTTCTTATTGTTTTTTGAATGCGTTATTAGCTTTTAAATAATCGTTATTATTTATTTGCCTGTGTGTGAATTGTAAATCAGAAATACAATTATCTGTGTTGCTATACTTGTTTTAATTGTTTACCTAGTAGGTTTTAAATTTTCCATAAGTCTTGCCATTTACGCGAGTATACATTAAAAAAACCAACAAACAGCCAGCATACACAATGTCAAGCCGTATCCAGTAAAAAAAGCCATTATCCACATTTATTATTAAGAAAGATTTGTCTAATATAAATCTTTATAAGGTTATAATATAACGAGAAGTAACGAATTAATACTTTAGACTACAGACTTAATACACTACCTATGTGCCTACTTTAGAACTATCGACATAACGCATTATAAATAATCAATATACAACACGTGACTAAAACAATGTGAGCATCTTATTCCTTATCCTAGATACATATACCTAAACGATAATTTTTCAAGCCAAAGAAGTAAATGCATTTATTAATTTTATTTACGTAAAACTCTAATCCAAACGACTGCACATTGTCCCATTACTTTCTTGATGAGTTCATTTGTTGACATTTTGACTTCCTAAACCTAAGTGACGTCATTTCCGCTTCTTGACACGACGCCATTATTGTATTAGTTTGAATTGTTTCGTTGCAACATTTTATCTTTGTTAGTTTTCATTTGGAGGAATATACGTATGCCGTTATATATTTCGTATTGGTGGATATTAACATTAAAAGATGTCACAAATAGAGAAACAAAAATAAATAAAATATGACTGTGACAGATTGTTTGTCTCGTTTATTCATTTTTATTAAATTATGTTGCGAAAATGTGTTTAAGTTTCCTGTTGCTTTACTCACGTTAGTAAGCCTTGTTTTATTTATGTTAAGTCAAACTACTACCACTAAAAATATTTATGCTTGTTAAACTACAAGGCACTACTAGGTACACTCATGAATGTCAATTAAATAAATTTTATTTGTGTCAATATACATTATATGATTTTCTTATTAAAGGTAGGTACATTGTCGTCCATATTCTTAATTCTTTAACCAAGACTGTGTCAAAAATGAAAAAAATAAAAACCCATACGAATCAAAATCAAATGGAAATTTCGACGGGTTCGTTGGTGTAATCGTACCAATGTGTGGCTAATAATCTACGGGTTCGATTCCTGGCGGGTTAAACATTTTTCTGGGCATCGTCTGCAAATCTGTATACTAAATGGGTGGTAAGGATGTCGGAATCGTGTCTGTGTCACGAGCCACTGTCCACACATAAAAATCATAAAAAACACAGCACCTCCCGCGCTCAACCACTGCACCACAGAGACTTATTATATCATATTATACGTTGTAAATGCAATGTATAAACGTTGTGGAGTGATAATGTCCAGCGGCACAACCGAGATAATCTTTTATTCATGCGACCTCCATCGTTTATGCAAATTACTCGCGAATAATGTAGAGTGATGATAAAATAATAAAATGGGGAATTTAAGCCTTATTCGATGTTATTGTCTAAAATGAAGCAATTATCACGTAATCTAAACGACTTATAACACTTTAATAGTTATGCATTTAGTAAAACATAATTATTAGGTACCTAGCGTCGGTAGTACACGCTTAGTAGCAACACGTTGAAATAAAACACTTAACGGTTTAAAACGCGAATGTATTAGTAATTATAGCATAGAATATTAACTATAGCTATGGTCATGAGGAAACGGCTGCTGCATCCGGAACGTCGGGCCGTAGTTAAATAAATTGGAAATAAGTAATACATTTCGCTATTTTGACTATTAAAACGAGATTAACTCTATGTCAAAAATTTTGAGATCTACTACAGAGTAGGTTTTAATATTTTTTTTTCCTTTAAATTGTTATAATTTTTTTTCTTGATTTTACTCGTGGATATTTGGATCGATGTTCGACGACAATATAATAAATAGTATAAAATTCAGTATCAAATCTATAAGTACCCTGCGGAATAATTTGATACTGACCTAAAAATCAACTAATCGACTGACCGTTATTACTATGCCATATTTTATAGCCAAGCGTTATTTATTAAGCTTCTTTCTTGTCTATGGCTTCCGGCGTAAGGTGGTCTAATTAAGGCAGTCTTTAATTCTCCATTTTATGGTATTCTAGTTGACCTGGCAAATGATTTTGCCATATTGAATATATCGACAAAATTGGATTCCCATAAAAACGGCTCGTGTAAGTTAATCTTAAAAGATAGACGTATGTGTGTGTGAGTGGGTGTCCCGTTTCCCCCTCGTGGGGCATGGGGCGAACACATTTCTGTGTCCGTTTCACTGATCCGTTCTTTTAACGGGCAAGTAGTTGACCAGACTTCTGTGCCCTATCCGACCGCAACCACTTTTTTTTGTTCCCCTGGGATTTGAACTTAAGACCAATACGTTTAACTATTTGGCTACAGAGTATATAGAGGTATTTTTCGATCATTTAAAAGTCGAACAATTCTTTCATACATTTATTTGGTTATCTCGAATCGAGATTCTCAAATAAATTATTCTACCAGTTTTTTTTTTTAATTTCCTTCAGTTTCTTTGCTTTTATTGGCCGCATCCTGATGCTGATAGCTTAAAGCCTTCCTTGATGAAAGGTCTAACCAATACAAAATTTTACAATTTGCACTAGCAGTTCCTATGATTAACGCGTTCAAACAAACACAGCCTTATAATATTAATACAGAACTGTATTTTAATTAGTTTTTATTCCCTTGTTCTAACCGACTAGAACTATTTTTTTTTTACCACGGGATTCAAGCCCAGGAACCGTGTAATATTGAATCTTAGACGGCGGTGGAAAAAGTTATGACCTTTAATAAAAATAAAACTGTATCGGAAACCCGTTACCGGCTTAACTAGATAAGTTGATTTAGTTTATCTGACAATATATTTACTACAAAATCGCCGTATCGTATCAAACATCGTAATTCGCTTGCAACTTTGTTTTGGAGCTTAAAGTTTAAATACCATAACTTTAATATAATGCTTTGAGACAACGGTTCCTATACAATAGCGTTATAAATCGGAAGATTACAATTTCGTGTTTTAGTATACAAACTACATATTCCAATAACATATTTTTTCATCTATGTATAACTATTATGAGGCTTATAATATTATTTTAGTATTCTATCAGCACGGGCGGGAATCAAACCTACAAACACTGTTGTTGTTGTACCAATGGAGTGTCCCGCCGTATTTTCTCGCGCAAGCCCTTCTAATAGGAGGTGAACATATTATTGTTAAAAAATTAAAGTGGCGTACTGTACCGAAGTAATGGTAGAAAATTATACTAATATAGGTCTCTATTTAGCTATAGGTATGTCAGAAAAGTGATTTGGTTGATTAGAAAGGAAGGACAAAAGACGGACGGAAGGACAAAAGACGGACGGAAGGACAACATAACATACTTTCGCATCTATTTATTAGATACATAGACGTTAACCGTGTTACAATCTTACATGTTTTAAAGTCCCTTACAATATTAACACAAATAGTAATCTAATATTTATAGGTAATTACATGTTATTTAATAAAATTATAACATTGTAGGTATTATGTTCTATACTTATTTTCACTTCGGAAAATTATTTTAATATTAAACATACTAGAACTTTTATTTGTTTAATTTAATATTATATTTTTATTAATTCCTAAGCGACATTTGATTTTTTGAAATTTGTGTATTATAATTTTCATTTACTTTATTTAATTTACTCATTTAATTAAATTAATGATTTTCTAGGCCTTGCTTCTTATATTTTTACAAGAATTAGTCATATAACTATTTTATTAACATTATTTTTATCTTTACTAATCTTTAAAAAGAAACAAACACGAGTAAGAGTAGTCAATTTAAATAGTACATACAGATAACCTACATAAAGTTACCATATAATACCACATATTATATTTTAATATTATTATGGAATCCGTTGTCCGAATGTTCCGAAATAGAAACCCCGATTTTATAGCCAGCCTTACACAGCTTTAAAATCCGTATTTAAATTATCATCGGTCATTAGAATCTAACGATGTTTCGTATCGATTTATTGATTTTCAAAATATCGATGTCGAAGTATTTGGGAAGCGATGTCTAAATTATGTTTACGATTCATATATTATACTAGAGACGTCGGGTTCGACAATTTATGCTATTTTTAATCTAGATATTTGTTATTTATGGCTGGCTATAAGACATCAACGGGTCGTCGGACGTATTCGGTATTGTTTGTAACTTGATTGGGCAATAGTGCTTGTTGCGATATTATTTTCACATTTAATTTAGACGAATGTATTAAGAAAAAATTATAATACTTACAACCATCATTATACTAGTAAAATAGTATTAGGTTTAGGTACTTTATTTTTGCGCAAGAGTGCTTTCGAGTGTGGGTTAGAATCCCGCATTTGTCTTTTCTATATTTAAAATGTTACTATTTTGTTACGTAGAATTTTTTATGATATATTAGGACAGATAAGCATTACGTTCACTCGATTGTAGGTAAAATACCCCCGCTATATACCATATATTCAGACAAGGCGGTGTCAAACTATTCGGCTTTGGATGTTTGGAAATTCATAGACTGAAGTCGAAACGCTTAAACTTCACGGCTTTTTCATCTGTGGTTTGTGACCCGGTCTGAATTTCAGTATGACTACCCGTTTATTATACAGTTTTCCAGACGAAGTCCAACACGTTTTAGAAAAATTATAAATAGTTGACACATGTCAAACTCCACCGGGTCACTGCTATATAACTCTCGAAGAAGACATTCAAACGAAACAAGAAGAGAGTTTTCGTTATGGCAAAGCTTATCACATACAACTCTTATGTGGTCAGTCGGTATAAGAAGTACCTAGCAGCATCTTTCGAACACTGAACCACGACGATCTCAATTATCATGGCCTCGCTGACAGAAAAACTATTTGTCAAACGTGACAGCTTACTAGAATGAACATCATCATTCGTGAGGTTGGAAGTTTGATTCTTGGTCGTGCACCAGAATCTTTGTTTAATCTCACGTCCTTTTCTGTGTAGGAAAACGTTTTTTATAAACTTAACTTTTAAAGCATTCTTAAAAATCAATTTCTACTATTTCTCGCTATAAATTTATTTCTATCTAATGCTTCATTTACTTATCATTTTGTTACGAAAGTAAGCTACCGAGTTACTTGCGTTAGTAAATACAGAACCTACATTGTCATTAGCATATAAATAAGTTTTTTGTGAAACCGAAGAATTAATAATTAAGTTCTTTAATCGTAAATACCTTATGAATTTTAAAATACGTGTATATTCAATTTAACAATTATTTTCTTCTAATTTATTCTTGCTGCTTCTAGAAAAGGATAACAGATCATATAATATTTAGAACGTTATCAAACTAGGGTTTACGGTCTTCCATTTTATTATAGGTCTGTGGAGTTTTTGCATTATGACATTACATTATTTAATCTAGACTGGATAAAAGAGCGAATTTCGTAGAAGCATCTAGCTGCTAAATTAGTCGTAATGTTCTTTTTTTCATTCATTATCAATAAAAAAAAACGTATTTAATACTTTAAAAAAGCGACATCAATTTAAATAAAACACTTTAACGGTTTAAAATTCGATGTATATTACGGTGCCAGCCGCGGTCACGAGGTGGCTACTGCAAAGCATCCGAAACGTCGGGCGGTAGTTAAAATAATTTTTAAATAAGCTTAACTACTACTACTACTCGCGTAAACCAGGCAACTATCAAAGCGACATCCAGTTTCCCCCGTGGACATCTCTGTTAACACAATGCTAAGCAACTCGCTTAAACATTAAGCTACATATCGATCTAATCAAATGGAATTCTTTTCGCAGACGTTACGGAACAAAATGCAGCGGCTGCGGTCACGGCATATCACCATCTGACCTGGTTAGAAAAGCGCGGGAAAAGGTGTTCCACCTGAATTGCTTCACCTGCCTTGTATGTCGGAAGCAGCTGTCAACAGGCGAAGAATTGTATGTGCTGGACGACAACAAGTTTATCTGTAAAGAGGATTACCTCGCGGGGAAGGCGCCAACGCATTGTAAGTACCTAATATTAGAGATCGACCGACCTTCGTGTATTTATTAACTTGAATTATATAAATTAAACATCTATTTGGATAGTAAAATAAGACGATACGAGCGAGACTTGAACTGGCTTCCACAGCCTTCCTTGCTGCTGCTCTAGCCAGCTGTCAACTGATCTAAAGTTACGGTAACTTAAGTAAATACACCAAGATCAATATTTTTCATTTATATTAAATAATATTAAATTTAATATAATATTAAAGTCTTACAACTTAAATCGTGACGAACGTGTACATTTTTTAAATACATTTATATATAAAACACATAAATTAAACATATAAGGCCACATAAAGCTCAAAAATAGAGAAATTAACCTTTTCTTACTAACTTAAATATATGAGAAATGAAGTTACTTAATTTGAACATAAAAAATAAAAATATATAATGATTTGGCGTGTCGATTTATTTAACAAAGTAGTTCAAGCAAGCAAGTAATTAGGTTCTATAATGAATATCGAACACAATCATTCTAGAACTATTAGGTCAGTGTCAAATAGTGCGAGTAACGTAGATTGCTTTTAAATTATAAAGCTTTTGTCACCTGAAAGCGCTTGCGCAAGCAATTGTATACACGTTCACAAATACATAATGTCCTCTCGAAATGTCTACTGAATAATTATACTCTGTCTAATACATTTAGTTCCATTTCGTACTTTTTTGACACGTACCGCCCATTCGTGAACGTGGCGCCCGCAACATATAAAAAAAAATGTAGAAAGATCTCGTAAAACATTTCAATTCAAAAACTATAAAATGTCTCATTATTTAAACTTATATAACTCAGCGTTTTATATTAGACAAAGTACAGATAACAAATAATTAATTTTCTAATATCGAGTTGTGTACGTGACATGTGATTGCAAATCACGTTTCGGCTCGTTTTATTGTTCACGGACGTATCACGACCGCAATAAAAACGGAGAGCCCACTTTGAAATCGAATTTTTCGATCAATACGAACCGTAACTGAAGCCGAGAAAAAAGAAATGAAAAAGCAAAGGCGCTGGACAAAAAGCCAACCGCATTACACATTAGCCACGTCTCCACGCGGTAGTGGCATAGACAAGTTTTTTTAAACGACGTGAGCCCAAAAAACCACAGATAAGGGTACACTTGTTGAAATTGATACAGATTATAGAATAGGTATAAATATTATGATGTCTGTGTAGAAAGCGTGGTCTACGCTCTGTGCGGAGATTTTTATTGCTTCGGAATTTATAATTCGAACATCGCTACATTTCTGTCAATACGAGATCCGGATGAACTGGTTTTAGAATTTACTACGGTTTGTTTAATGAATTCAGTTTGTGCTACTGTAGGTATCTTCACTGTCTATCATTTGTAATGGATCTCATCTAATGATACATCTTAATGAAAGCGATTCGTTTGAAATTGTTTGATGTCTAATATCTAAGATTATAATACGTTTCTTTTGCGTATATAAATAAAAAGTATATATTAAACGGTTTATATATTGACGATATAGGTACGTATTACGTAGATATAGTAACTATTGTAGGCTCTCTCTCTTTTTCGAGACCAGGGCTAGATTAACAAGCAAGTAGTTCAACATACCATTGTACCGTACTGTGCATGACCAAAACTGTGACTTCTTTCCGGAACTTACCTCCTACATATAGTAGATATACTGAAATAAAATATAATTAATGCTTCTGGATTTCAAAATAATTCGTACTATTCTACGCTTGCTAAAAATTGCGCAGAGAAACTATCTTATGTTTTTTACGATTTAACTAAAAACTGTCCCGCAGCAAAGATCTCCGTTCAAAGAAAGGATTTTTGACGGGCTTTTAAATTTCATAATAATATAATATTGCTCGTTTTTTTTATATTGTATATCTATTGCCGAGAGGTTATTGCGTAGGCTAATTCAAATTTCAATGTACCCGCAACATGTGTCCGCCCGCGGCATCGCTTGTGTTTGCGCGCAGTAATTGTGTTTAGATATTGTTAGCCAGACAGATAAATAAAGGGTAATATTGCGTTATCAAGCTTCATAAATGTTGGATAGAGAAACGTTTACTTTTACTAACAGATTTTGTTAATCTACAGGAGATTCTTCCTGTTTGTGTTTATTTTTCTACTGAATATTCTAGATGAAGAATTAATAAAATACTTTCTTGTATTTTTTTTATAGTAAAGGGAACAAAAATGTTTGTGTTTGCCATTTTAATTATTTCTTGTTTTGGCAATCTGTTATTATGTGGAAGAGAATCTGAATTTTTCATTTCTTTCTCATTCTTACACACTTTAACTATTTATTGTTTCATCAACAATTGTTACACTAGTAGGTAGCTTCCTATCTTTAATGTTGCAAAATTGATTAAACTTTGGTGACATGTTTTGTGCAACAACAGTCATATAAGTAAGTATAACAATTATTGAAACATATTATAATGATACCATAAACAGATTGAAAGGCGACTTATGCCAGCAGCAATGATAACAGGACATTGTGTAAACACCGTGTCTGTTTAAAAAAATATTTAATTACGAGTTTATATTAGATTGATCAAGTTATACCAATGATTTAAAAAAATGTTTGTTACGCTCGCGCATAAACGATAGCAAATAGCGTTTCCACTGGTTTGAACTCCACAAGATTAGGTTACCCCAACGAGAGGGTAAGAGGCTTACGAATAACGATACTGATCAAGATATGATGTTCGGCTTAATACATAATGCGTATAATAATTTAAAATATCGACAACAGAAACTCGAATGATTTTCCACTGAATTAAAACACGCACTAATCATTCCTACACCTACATAAAGATAGATTGGTTCCTCTTTTAAAGTCGGTTAAAAAGTAAGTTACACACAACGTTGAATGGGAAAATATTTAAATTATCTTCTGTTGGCTATTAAAAGTATGAATATGTGATAATTCTAGAGATAAATTAGTCGATCTTCTATGTAGCTAAATGGTTGATACTTTACGTTAAGCGCGAGAGGTCTTTTGTTCGAATCTCGGGGAAACAATAGATTATTCTATAATAATGGCCTATGCCACAGTAGTTTGATTAACTACTCGCCTATAAATAAAACCGATTAGTGACACGGACATAGATGTGTTGGCCCTATGTCCCACATGGGGAACGGGGTTTAAATACTGTCTATAGTTTACGCGAGTAGTACGCATTTAAATAAAACACTTTAACGGTTTAAAACGCGTCTTAAACCGTTAAAGTGTTTTATTTAAACGGGGTTTAACTTTTGCTCGCTCCTCGGTCGTGCAAAAATAAAGTCGTTTCAAAATAATTATTATTTACCTATATATTTTGCTATTCTCTCTTACTTAATTAAAAAATAATAATTTTAGTAACTTATTATTATTATTGTTTTATCTTAACGAATAGTAGTGGTAAAATATTTTTTTTCCATTTTTAATTTTTATCCACGTACTTTTCCAACCCCTTTTGTACGAGTAGCTGACATGGCCAAGAAGCGTCAGAGCGTGCCCATTTCAAACAAAAACAACTTCCCCATATCGGTTGCAGAGCAAATAGCCAGGAGCCTGGAAAATGTTTATGTTAGGGGTCCCACCCCAGTGCCATAAGAATGAAAACGCAAGCAGTTATGTTAAGCTGCTTTTTAATGCTCTCATTTTTATGTTAATCGAGATGAAATTGGAACTTCTTCATTCATTGTATTATGGAAATATGTATGTTGTATTATTATTAGTGGCAAAAGCACCCATTTTATTTTACAGAAGAATAGACACTACGGGTTAGGTAATAGACAAACTTCTAGACCACAATCATTTAGTTTTATATATCTAGATTTTTAATATTAGGTATAGAAAGAAGTAACTCCTGCACGATACCTAACTACCTACTTAATTATAATAATAAATCATAATTTGAAAGTTGCACACAACACAAAACACACCCAAAAAATATAAACTGATAATTAAATTAACTTTATAACTATACTCGAACAAATTATATAAATATGGCCTGAAATGAACGAACACGCTTGCGTTTCAGTGGCGCCACCGCTTCTAGAGTAACAATTAACAAATATTCGTTAAAAACTATGTTAGTATATAATTACTATGTTTATTTATGCCATAGTTGTATGTAGTGTGAATGCCCGTTTCCCCCTCGTGGCGCATGGGGCGACCACATTTCTGTGTCCGTTTCACTGATTCGTTCTTTTTAACGGGCAAGTAGTTGGTCAGACTTCTGCCCGACAAAGTAGTTGTATGTAGGCAAACTATTAATCAAATTACAATAGGTCCCTTTGTTATTTTTAAATATGAACCACGTTTTAATCAGTTCGGAGTTAACTCAGAATGTTCCTTGTCAATAGGTCTCTAGAAAAATGAGTGCAAAAATGGCGATGCGATTATGGCGCGTGTTCCTGACGGTTCAGACGTTATCGCACCGGGACCGGTCTCCCTCTCGCCCTTAGGGTTACCACCTCAAAAAATAAAAATGAATAAAGCGTATCTTAATGTTATAGCAGACGACAAATTCTACCTTTCATCAAGTAACCCGAAGTTTCAAGTCGAATTTTACTTATATGCTCAATGTATCCTGAAGCTTTGTCGCTGAACAAAACTCAATAATATATTGCCAGCTTTTCCTAAATAAAAAAAAAATCTATCATTGTTGTGCCATTGAGATTAACTTGGTTAAAAGAACAACTTGCCATATTCTACTGCCATAAAAAGGAGACAACCCTGGTTATCGCGGTGTGGCCAGACGGGTACCCTCGTCTGCTCTGGCACAGATTAGCGTATCAGAGCGTGTGGGACCAGAGAAAATTTAATACGACTTCAAGAACACACTTCATGCTTATTGGACTTGTGATTATGATGTTTCTTTCAAGGTGTGAGACAGATTGAAGCATTTTTGTATTTACCTTACATTATGTTTAGTTTTTGACATAAAAGTAAATCACGAAAGAGTTTTTACTGTTTACTATACTGACAAGTCTATAAAAGTAAGTGTTCGAAGTTCAAAACTTTTACATTAATGTCAAACAAACGGCGCAAAAACGAAATAAATGATGTAAACAAAACCATCCAACCACAGAATCTCTAGTCGACAACCTTAGTCCTTTGCATTAAAGGTCTACTGTTTTATTTTATACTACGTTATGTAGGGTCACGTTGGAACTTGGAAGCGAAACGCGTGGAATGGAGGAATTCGATAGAATCCCATTTGGGATCCCCTTTCATTGTAAGGGGAGAGGGGGGCTGGGTGGATCCTATACCTTTAACAGATAATACCTTATATTTTATCTGTGGTGCACATAAACAGTGGAATTATATGATACATTTTAAAATCAATTAACGTTGAATATTAAGTTATTACCCTTTTGTGACCAAACGGCTAATATTTATATATACATATGTATATAAAGAACTATCTTACAGGCGCAAGTATTTAGTATATTTTAGGTTTTAATGATTATATTGGCGTTGTATAGAAACAAAATTCTTGCCAAGAGAACGCTGTCATGTAACCTATAGTATAAAGACGAGAACCTTACGAGATTTATTTCAGCCCGAGTCCTCATAGTCGATTGCGCGCTATGTTCAACCATTAATTTTTATTTATCGACAAAACGATCGATAGGTAGCGTGCTCGTAAAGTCGACGTACTAAACGTTTATGTGTGAAGTTTATGATGCTTTAATGTAGCGTTTTTGAAAGCTCGCTGGTCCCAAGTTTCTATTTTATACGTCCTCGTGGAATAGAATTATAGGTAGTAAAACGTGTCGGCGTTCGTAACGGTACTATCAGTTTGTATGTTGCTTAGCGCAGTGCGGGCGAATTCTATAACGCACAGTAATAAACATTATTTTAAAATTTATGACGTTTTTAAGATATTACGTGAACAATAAGTTTTGCTAATGGAATCGTGCGACTGGAGATGGGTGTGAAGCCATCGGCCATTAAGCGTTTATACGTTTGCAATTAGTTTTCATGTTCCTAGAAACGTTCGTCAGTAATTGTGGTATTTGCGGAGTTCATATCTGTGCACGTAAAAACTGCGTAATTTCTACCATCCTACTTTTAAGGTCTATTAATTAACAGAAGTTCTACTGCGGGCGAGTTGGTCTAATGGTAGTCTTATATGGCAAATAATCAACGGGTCGTAGGCATCAAACTTTCTAAATATTTAAATAAAACACTTTAACGGTTTAAAACGCGATATAGCTTGGGGGGGGGGGAAAACCAGCCGAAAAAGGGGGGGGGGGGGGGGGCCTTTTTTTTTTTTGGGGGCGGGGAAACCCCCCCCCTTTTGTCTCCCCGTGACCACGGCTGCTGCGAAGCATCCGAGACGTACGGGCGCGCCGAAGGTAAAAAACATTTTTAAATAAGTTTAACTAATATATCGCGTTTTAAACCGTTAAAGTGTTTTATTTAAATGTGTACTACTCGCGTAAACTATAGACAGTATGTTTCTAAATAACATAATTTTCTGAATGATTTTAGTCATCTAGAAATCTGCCATTACATGGTGATATCGAAATTCCGTCCAGATCACGAACTACACATACCTACAGATAAAGCTGTGAAGTTTAATCGCTTTTTGGTACAGTCTGTAATTTCCGAATAAATAAACCCATAATAGTTAGCTTAGATGTTCTATGGCTATTTCACTTTCATTTGATGAACCCCACGCTTGCCTGTCCTTCTACTATAATAAAAAGAATATTTCCAATCCCAGCAGACGGTACAGTCACAACGATAATTATCTTAGCTTGTCGACAAATGAAACGAACACAGTTATATATCTGTTAAAACTCTGTTATATGTCTTCCTTTATATCAGATTTCCTTTAATACCAAATTCGTATTAGAACCGCGTAGAACAAAAACATCGATAAAAAACCTAATCGCTGGACAATTTACAGCGTCAGGAGCGTACCCTAAAGGTAAATTATCGATAATCGACCGACTAACCAAATAGCCGATGTCGATACGAGTTATCGACAGTAATCGTTATAATCGCTAGTGCGGGATGATTACCAGTCGCCATTAGAAGACGTGCTCAGCGTATTAAATCAGAACCATTACATTTGACCTATTATCACGCTTTATATATGAACAATGCTACTGATTTTCATACATTTTCAAAATCGCCGAGGGCTCTTTGTATACTGGCGACCCGACTTTTTGTGGGCTTATTATTTAAATTATTATTTATTAACTATAATTGTTGGCGACGATTGAGGGCTAAGTGCGGCGTTTAGCGTAATTTGGATTGAGTTTTTGGTGGGTTTATTAGTTATTAGGCTTTTGGTAATCGCCCTGTGTTGTCTGTAGATTATACGAGTAGTACGCTATTAAGTTTTTAACGGTTTAAAACACGAAATATATTAGGTGGTTTGATTTATTTTAACCACCAAGCAACCGTGGTTGTGTTGAATAAGTTATTTTGGTCCTGCAAATGTAATTATTTGAAAATTAAATGACTTAATCGCTAAAGTTAATTCTTTTGGCACCTAAATGTTTTTATTGTTTATATGTCAATGCGAACCGAGATATTAATAATACGATCAAATCCGATTAACACAGACGGTACTCAACTGTCGTGGGCTGCGTCATCGATTTTTTATATTTATATATATCGTATTTTACAAATATACCGTTTTTTTCTGTCTATATATATCATATTATAAAGCTATACCTATAAGGCTTACTTATTTTATTTATGAAATAATTGTTTTTTAAATTTTAGCTAGGGTCACACTTCTCTACTTTACACAATAAATTTTACTCAATACGTCCAATTTTAACTTAAAATAAAAGCTAAGTACAATGAAATAAACTTTAATTTCTAAATCCCTAAAGCTACAACGTTGAGTAAGAATGCAACTTGAGTTCACGAAGTAGGAGTGGAGTTAAGTTTATAGCGCACTATAGCCGTGGTAGAGGTAAAATTTCCTCGTCTTATATTTTCTTTTCGGTCGCGGGTATTGTGCTCGGCTAAATGGCGTGAAATTGGCGGTCACTGAGTATCGTTTTTGAATCGCATACCATCTGTCTGTTAAAGTACGGAACACATACGAAATGCAATTTCAACGCAGGCGCAAGATTTAAAGACTACAGATTTTAAATTTTTAATATTTTATTTTATTTTTAATGAAAGGCATTTTTTTTATCGCTAAGTTGTGATCTCTTTAAGGCAACCTAAAGTACCTACAGGAGAAAATAAATAAAAAAGTAAGTAAATGGGTTCGAATCCCAGAGAAACAAAAAATGCTTCGGTCAGGCAGGGCACAAAAGTCTGATCAACTACTTGCCTGTTAAAGAAGAGATCAGTGAAACGGACACGGAAATGTGTTCTCCCCATGCCCCCGACGGGGAAACGGGATTTCACACACACTTTTACTATAATTTAACAAAGTAACTATTTTATTATTATTATTTTTAAAGGAAGATTTATGTATGGGTATTAAAATGTATTCTGTGATCCATCGATTATAGAAGGATTTCACTTCGATTGTATTTTAATATAAATATTACAGGTTTTGTTTTATGTTTAGAATAATAAGTTAAGATTTAAATAAAACACTTTAACGGTTTAAAACGCGATAT